GCCACCATGCCCAGCTAATTTTTTGTAGTTTTTAGTAGAGACGGGGTTTCACCATGTTGACCAGGATGGTCTCGATCTCTTGACCTCATGATCCACCCGCCTCGGCCTCCCAAAGTGCTGGGATTACAGGCTTGAGCCACCGCGCCCGGCTGATCAACAGAATTTAAGTAGATTCTATGACAAACGTGTTTAATGCTTATTCTGTGCAACACAATTACATTAAAGTAGACTTCAGGGGAACATTTCAAAGTATTGACTCTCCCAGAATAGTCACATAAAAACATAACCTTATTCATTGTGGATGATGAGGGTATTTATGTTACCTGTCTTCTTGAAGTTAAAGGTGTTGATCCAAGTCCTGGGCTAGAAATGTCATCATATATACTTCTAACTGGTGGAGCGCCACTTTTATCTTTATGAGCAGGTACAACTGGTTGCGGTGGTGACCCACCTACAGTGTACAAAAAAAAAGGTGAGAAAACAAAGGATTCTATTATCTTTTTGGTAAGATTTTTAAAATTTGTATTTTTCAAACACTGACTTAAAATCTTGTCTCCTAGTTCTATTCAAACTTTAATATGTTGAAGAGTCATCTAGGGATCTTGTTAAAATTCAGGCTCTGATTCAGAAGGTGTAGGGTGAAGCCTGAGATTATACAGTTCTAACAAGCTCCCAGGTGATGCCAATGCTGCTGATCCACAGACTGCACTTTGAATAAAAGGATTCAGAATAAGTAGTTAATGAAAATCTTATTTAGAAAATACATGTAACTTTTGCTCTCTCTACAAAACGCTTAACATTTAAATACAAAACTTGATCTCATTTCTCACTTGAAAGTAGGTATTAAACAGCTTCAGTCTGGATTCCTGAATAAATATAATTCCCTAATGTGGAATATGACTATCTAGATTAAGAAGATCCCATTCATATTTCTCACAGTAGAAATACATTTAAGTACATAATAAAGACATAGTAAAAGAAGCCGGGCGTGGTGGCTCATGCCTGTAATCCCAGCACTTTGGGAGGCCGAGGCGGGTGGATCACAAGGTCAAGAGATCGAGACCATCCTGGTCAACATGGTGAAACCCCGTCTCTACTAAAAATACAAAAAATTAGCTGAGCGTGGTGGCGCGTGCTTGTGATGCCAGCTACTCAGGAGGCTGAGGCAGAAGAATTGCCTGAACCCAGGAGGCGGAGGCTGCGGTGAGCTGAGATCGCACCATTGCACTCCAGCCTGGGTAACAAGAGCGAAACTCTGTCTCAAAAAAAAAAAAAAAAAAGTAAAAGGACCAACTTCAGTGACATAAAGATGTCTTTATCAATCAGAGAACATGCAATGCCAAATAGTGATGCAGCCCAGGCCATCTGTAAGCCTAATGTCTGAGCCAGGACAGTACAGCTTAAGCTATTTAGAGCACAGTCTACAGAATAAGACTGACCTGGGGTTTATAACGCTCTCACTAGCAAGTGAGCTTCAGCAAATTATTTATTGCATTTAGCCTCAGTTTCCTCTTTTGAAAAATAGGGATACTATTACCTACGCTTTAAGAATGACAAAAGAATGATCAGCATACTACCAGGCTCATAAGCAATCCATATATGTTGACTACCATAATAAAATAATACATTTGAAATTTAATGTTTAATGTTAAGTGAATTACTTCAAATATAA